ATGGATCGAATATAAAAGTGCCTGCAACGAGCAGACAATTCCTATGCAAATGGTACTTCAAGGAATAACCGACGAATACCTTTTTCATCCTCGAGTGAGACCACCACAGAAAGAACTCCATCCCGCTTCGAAGTTGTGTCCTGGATGTTGTTCACGCAAGCATGACACACCATTCCCTTGATGGATATAATGGCTTTTCTAGGAGCGGAATTGGCCGCTACGGAGATTTCGTCCCCTGAAGTTCATAATTTCGAGAAAGCAATATTCGTAAGGCCAAAACCAAGGAATGCGCAGACCTTCCCGAGTGTACTTTAGTTTCGCTTCGAAACCCATATCGTCGATACTCTCAGCCACACTCATTCCAGTCCAAAGTATAGGATCAAAGACGACAACACCTGTGAATGAATCCAGCAAGTGAAAGAGCCGAAGTAAAACAAGAGTAGGAGAAGAAATTCACCTTCGGCGTCATCAAGTGAAACCTTGCATGAGTGAATGCCTGGCCGAGTTCGCATTGTGTCTTGAATGTTGTTCACACAAGCATGACAAGTCATTCCACTGAAAATGCACGCCTTAGACGTTCTGATAAAGATTTCTTATCAAGGCGCTCACTTTATACTGATCACAGCAGTTTGTGGAGCTCCCTTTACGGCATTGTTCAGTTTTTCAATGGAACTGCTTGATGGAGATGGAGACGAACCTCTGGAAACAACACTACCTCACCACTTCACAGAAGGTCGCAGCATCTTTTTTTCTTAGTTTTGGTCATTCATTCTCTCGGCCGAGTCACAGATCAAGCGGCCTGTGACGGTAAGATTCGATTATTGCATCATCAAGATTGCATTTTCACGGAATTTGGAGGCCAAATATTCGACCTCTTCCCAGAAACATTATTTAACTATCTTCAAGGGGCTTCTTAGTCCATTTATCAGTGGCTTCCCTAGAAACCTCATTTAGAGCCTTTAATCTTCACTACCTTCCTTCGGGTTCTTAGCCTACACCTCAAAACATGGAGCCCATCTAAATGCTAAGATGCTTCACATGATTTGGCAGCAGCAAATCAAATGAGACAAATGGGAAAATAAGGGAAATAAACTTCTTAATTATTTGAGTGAATATCACCGATTTCTGTACCTCAGAAATCCAAAATCAGACTGTAATGAACGAGCGGATTGACCTCCAAACATCACGAATCAAAAGTTCTCACTAACTGCCGGGTACCCGACAGGAGGCCCGTCGCGCGGCAAGGAGGTGGGGTCAGCGGACGAGTCGTAGCGAGTGATGTGCGATGTAGGACGTACAACGGGGTGTGTCTCAAGTGGT